TACATGAAATATTGATTGAATTTAAGGTTTTTTTTAACATTGTATTAAAAAATGAAAGACGTCGGTCGTCTCGTTGTCTCTTCGATAAATCGAGGCGTATACAATAGGGTGGTTCGCTTTTGCAAAAATGTTCGAAATCGCGTATACGTCATGGCGATTCTGAAAGTTCAAGTCTTTACGAAAAGAAAGCCGGGTTCAGAACCTAAAAAAAGTGTCGGGAACCGGTGTCGATCGATTTTTGAAGTTTCAAAACGTGGTCCAAAAAAGGAGCAAAATCGGTCAACCATTCAATTTATTTCAAACTGTGTTTCGAGAGTAAAAATAATATCGACAATACATTTTCTTACGTATTTTTGTCTGTAGAATCGAATGCCGTAGTCAGTTTTGCTCTACGACTTCGTTTTCATCGATAAAAATGTACTTTTTTGATTTTTTTTTCGCTTAAAAATCCAAAAATCGACTTTGCAACGTTTAAAAATGAACAGAAAAAATCTTCGAAAATTTTTGACACTACCAAAATTTAGGATTTTTTGTGACGAATCCAACCGTATAAATTAGTATATGCTTTAAAATTATTTTCATTCATAAAAATGCAAATTTTCGATTTTTTTTGGCTGAATTTGACGAAAAATCTCGAAAACGAGCCCTTTTTGAGAGAAAGTGCTCTTAAAAAATCCCGCTGCAACATTTTTTTTGTATTTTTTGCTGTAAAATTGAATGACGTTGTGATTTTGGTCCTAAAACATCGTTTTAGAAAAAAACGATTTTTTTTCGAAAACATCTCGTTTTCGAGATTTTTCGTCAAATTCAGCCAAAAAAAATCGAAAATTTGCATTTTTATGAATGAAAATAATTTTAAAGCATATACTAATTTATACGGTTGGATTCGTCACAAAAAATCCTAAATTTTGGTAGTGTCAAAAATTTTCGAAGATTTTTTCTGTTCATTTTTAAACGTTGCAAAGTCGATTTTTGGATTTTTAAGCGAAAAAAAAATCAAAAAAGTACATTTTTATCGATGAAAACGAAGTCGTAGAGCAAAACTGACTACGGCATTCGATTCTACAGACAAAAATACGTAAGAAAATGTATTGTCGATATTATTTTTACTCTCGAAACACAGTTTGAAATAAATTGAATGGTTGACCGATTTTGCTCCTTTTTTGGACCACGTTTTGAAACTTCAAAAATCGATCGACACCGGTTCCCGACACTTTTTTTAGGTTCTGAACCCGGCTTTCTTTTCGTAAAGACTTGAACTTTCAGAATCGCCATGACGTATACGCGATTTTGAATATTTTTGCAAAAGCGAACCACCCTAGTATACAATACACTGCAAAAGACGCATCGAAGTTAAATTTTTTACTAGAAAAAACGTAGCTCTATAAGTGCATCGAACGCACATCGCGCATAGAATTAGAAAGAGAGAGAAAAAAACCTCTATTACCCGCTCCCTGGGGAGAAGTCACGTGTCACGCTGCTTGGCAAACGGTCGCCGTGAACCAAGTACATATATAACGACGCGAAGAAGGGTGTATAATCGAGCCCCGCGTGTGCACTCGGCTGCAAGCGCGAGAGACGGATCATCGCCCTCTCTCTTTTTTCACGCGCGCAACGTATCCTGCAGCAAGGAAACGAGTGCCAAGCTCTCGTATGCAAATATACGCGGCGTTGCGCTCGTCCTCGTCGAGCTTTCGAGCTTTCCAAGGGGACATAAGCTGCTGCTGCTGCTGCTGTGAAGCAAGGAAACTCGGGGGGTCGTGTGAAAGGGGACTCGAGAAAAATTAGTAAGAAATGCTCCTGCCTCGCGCGTAAAATGCAAAAAACGACGCGACGTTGACACTGCAGCGACGGCAGCAGCTGCGCACGAATCTCTTTTTCTGCAGCACGGAGATTCCGCATGAGACGCGCTAATATGCATTTTTAAAATTATAACGATAATATATATGCGCGCGTGTACTTCAGTATATGGCATTAACGCGAGGCAGGAGGAATCGTACCACGAAAAAATTACATTTGAATAAATTTCAAATAGCTAGCACAAAAACGAGAGACAGGCGTGTGCGACCGACACGCGCAATTCGGAAAGTATTATAGCTGTCGAGTAAACGAATATATTTGTATGAAAGCCTTAGCGTGATACGTCAAATTCGCAATTGGTACACACAACGAACGAGAAAAAAGGAAGCAAACGAAGAAGTAAGAAAGAAACGAAGAATACAGGGAAGGAAAAGAAAAAGTAAAGAAGTTTCGCATATATATATAAACGGCGAAAGAGCTCGAAAGGATAATGGCTCGTCTAGAAAATACGTATATATATATACGTAGAGTGCACAGAGCCACGCGCACCAGAACGAAGGTCTAAATCATTTTTACACGCGAGCTGACGCGAGCCGAGGGTGCGTCGGTGCCTCTCCTGCACACTACTCTTACTACTACTACTACCTCTACTATCCTCGCCGAGCTGCGGCGAGAACAAAGTGCAGCATACGAGGTATGTAATATAAGGTGCAAACTCTTTCGGCGCATTATATACAGCTCGGCTATATGTGTAAGTAGTGGTGGTAATTGTGCAGGCAGACAGGCAGGCAGGCAAGAAGACGCAAACGTTATTATATACGCGGCCCGGCCACGGAAAAGGAGCTCCGCAGAGAGGGAGATATACGTGATGAAAATGAGAAAATTCACGCGCGGACGCCGTTTAATATGTATGCGTTTTGGATATTAGCGGTCCTGGAGTGGAGGAAAAAAAATAAGAGAGAGAGAGAAAATTTGTAACAATTTAACTGCGTATTACGTTTGCTTGGATGGAGTTTAATTTCGATGTGAGAGTTACATCTTCCGCCAAATAAAAGTGGATTATTTGTATATCATGTAAACATATGGCTGTACATAGAGCTGCGTCGTGCTGCTTATACACACATGACACTAGATATAATTCGGATTGAAGCATAATGTAAAGACGAGTATCTCTTGAAGTATTCTTTGCGAAATCTACTGGCAAAAAGCGTAGGTAAACACACAAAGAACAAAGCAACACGCCTATACTGTTGAACTCATGGACGCGGTCAACGGTAGAGGGGGAGATTTTTGCTAACGGACGATAGAAGTCGCGGGGATCACCTCGACCATAAAAGTAAGCGCGACCGATGTATTCAGTGTTCACTCGATAGCGATGAGCTGCGTGTCACGACGAGCGAATGTTTACTAATCATTTTCGTAAAAGAGCACGAGTCCATGTTTGAAACCGAGAGGCAGTGTAAAAGCTAATCGAAACTATATAACCTCAAATACTTTATCAGTGTGTATCTTGAAAATTTACTGTGAAAACATCTGACATATAATCGAGAAAGTGATTAAAAGCAACGGTTATAGAGTAAGGTATAATATTTTTTTTGTGTTATACCCCCGTGATGGTTTTTTAAGCAATTTCTTATTAAATTCGATTAATCTGCAGGGTGAAGGAATAGCTGAGCGATACATGGACGAATGCAGTTGAAGCTTGCGTCGCTCGAAAAGTTCGATAAACAAATATTTATCAATTCTGGATGGGCTGCAAATCTGAGTATCAAAGTTGTAATCCAATCGTGAAAAAAGAACGCGAGTGATAATAATAGTCGGTTGAATGTGAACTCGGCAAAAGCAAGTCTATAAGAGAAATATCAATACGATGGGGGAAAATACGGTGTATAAATGTGAAATTTGTGATGAATCGTTGTTCACCTCCATTGAACTCGGAATTCATTTAAAAATACAACACCGTAGATTTTACGTGTGTAAGATCTGCTACAGTTCTTTTAGCTGCCAGGATTACCTCGATAATCACCTGAATGTAGTGCACAATCACAATGAATCCTTCGAATGCGAGATTTGTCACAAATCATTTGGCTACCAATTTATGCTCAAAACCCATATTAATGCTGTACATACTCATGGTGAACGTCCCTTTGAATGTGATACTTGTCACGAGACATTTTTGCACTTGAATGACCTCACAACTCACTTAAATATAAAACATGATCCTAGCAAATTCACCAATTAACAGTTTTTTCACGAATCATTTGATCACGAGTCACTTTTAAGCTCACATGATGACGTATCATGATAGTAGCAAAACCTTCGAGGGTGAGTTTTGAATGTGACAATTGTCTCAAATCATTTTTACACCAAGGTAACCTCATTCATCATATTAATATGTTGTCACAAAGTATTTATTAAAAAAAATAACCTCAAAATTCACACCAATTCAGTACACGTTCGTGACAAATCCTATATTTTCAAAATTACACAAAAATAAATTTCAAGATCGTAACAAATCTTAAAAAAAGAGAGATTCCCAAGACGCTCTGACGCAATAAATTGACATTTATATTATGTGTACTGCAATCTTTGATGATGTCCGATATTCTCTTATTTTTAAAAAAAAACTTTGAGGTACTTTAAATTTTTATTAATTTCATCATAATTTTGTAAAAGTTTTTCCTCAATCTTATTAATAAACTTATAAATCACATATTAAAAGACACGATTTTTTTTTCCTTTCTTCTATGATCCTAACCATTTTCGCGATACAAAACTGTTACAACAAAAAGACTTAACACGGTTCAATACTCGAAGACGAAAAATTGCTATCAAAATTATCAAGTATTTTTTATGTTGTCGAGACCTCGAACAAAGAAACATCAACGTCCATGTAACGCTCGTCAAACGGCAAAAATTTGAATCGCTACTCCAACCTCGTGTTCCACCCATAACTCGTAAAATCGCTCGTATACACTATATAACGTAACGCAAGAGTCTGCGTGCGGAGCTGAAGTACAAGAGGGTAGTATAGGTAGGGGGGTTGCTGCTGCTGCCGTAGTTGCAAGCGCGCACCAGCAGCAGTCCTCTCTCTCTTTCTTTCTCTCTCTCTCTGGAGGCACTATTCCGTGCCGAAGGTGGGTAGGATAGGTAGGGGGCGTCGCAACACTCGCCAGTCTCGCTGCGACGCCCGCGAGCACTGCGTCGTCGTTGTACACACGCGCGAGCGCGATACATCATATTCCCGCGCTGTATATAGCTTGCATGTGGTGCTCAGTGCAGCGGCACACACATACGCAACGTTTTATATTAAAAATACGTAAAAACTTGCTACGTATCCGTGCAAATCGTGCGCTTCCAGTGCGGTGTGCGGTCTGCCGAACGCCACTACTGTACTGCGGTGCGTTCTATCGTATAAAAAAAAATATATAGATAGTTACACCCTTCGTGCGGTGAGTGTGAGTTTTATTTATTTTCACGCGCGATTCTCTTCGATTCGATTCGTTCGTCGTCGTCGTTGCAGTCGTGCAAAGTTTGGAAATAATTTTTGTAAAATGTGAGCCAGTGTGAATAGATAAGTGGTAGTGATATGGTCAACGACGGTTAACATTGATAATAATAATAATAATCGTCCGCATCTTGGATCGATGATCGTCGCCTCGCGTCGTTGCTGCCGTTACTGCGTTTTAATATAAAAAGAAACACGCGCGTGTGTGTGTGTGCATTGTGTATTCACTTGTGTGCGCCTTGAGCGATGGCGCGAGTTTCTCGTTCGGAGTAAGATATCTCGATTCGTCGGTGCATTCTGAAAAAACAGGCAGCGAACAGCGAACGAACGACGAAAATGGTCCTGCACGGGGTTAATCGTAAGTCATTCGTTTCTTTACGATGATACATTGCGTCTCCCTCCTGACGCGCACGATGAATCATATAATAATCCGCGACGTATGTGTGTATACACGAGCCGCCTCGAAATCTCGCGTTGCAGCGCGTGCGATATACGTATTATATGTGTATTGTATGGATAGCTATCTACCGTTGCAGCCGAGTAAGGAACTCGAAAGTAGGCTCTCGGAGGCCACTCGAATTAATTAAAGCTAGACTATATCACATTGTATAATCCGCAGCTGACACGTTGTATTATATATAGATAGACGAGCCAAAAAAATGCGCGACATTGTTGCATTATACACGGACGCGACGGCGCTTTATCTTTCTCTCTCTTTTTTTTTCGGACGCGTCCTGAGACGTTAATTAAACGGCTCGCACGCTGCTGCTGCTGCTATACCAGCCGGCTAAAAATCTAGGTCAGGGCTAGGCCTCGCAGCAGAGTCGCTGCTGCTGCTGCGCGAGGGCGCGTTTTTTATATACACACACATTCTCGCGGGGTAGAACAGCAACTTTCTGCCGCACTATGCACACACACGTTTGTGCGCGATGCAATGCGATGTAACGAAATATCGCCTCGAAGAGAAGCTCTTGTATGGATTTTATGCACAGATGAGAGATTTGCGAGATCCGCGCGTTAATACTGATTCCTCTATAGGCCGCGCGCAATGTGTCGATATACATATATAAATGACGTGTATCGATCGATCGGTGCGGGTGTACGCGCACACAGCTGTACACGTCGATTCCTTGTTTTTCTTACCTTTTACTTTATTTTCATTTCATGTTACGTATCTGGAAAAAAAAATAAACGATGGGTCGAAGTCTGACTCAGGGAGGAATTACCCAAGTCTTCGTGCACACGAATATATCATTAATACCGTCGTCCTGTGCGAGCGATCCGATCGAGACACGGCTTGGCTATGAGTCGAAGGGTGTCCGCGCGGGATCGATACATAAGTTAATGGAGTAATATTATCGCGGATGTTTTTCTACTTACACGAAACGTCAATAGTATAATCTAAATACAATCAACCTATAATAATAATATAATATTTTTTTATTATATGTCATTTTTTTTATACTTAAGATATCGTTCAGGATATAAAATAGCAAATTATCTGTTAAACCGTTCGAATTGACCGAAAAACTTTATATACGTATAAAATAAGCTTTCGGTATATATATACGTCGACCCGAGAATTGCCGTACAACGATATCCGACAATCACTTCGACCACACGACTGACCTAGCGCGTAATAATAAGGTCTCGGCGTACGATATATCGTACCGCTATTGTTAAAAGACCAGATAACATTATCGTAAATGGAATGTACTCTGCGCTATACTCGCTTTATACATGTATTCTATCGAACGGTATATATATATACAGGTATCGTCAGGACCAATTAGAAATACGTCGCGAGCACACTGTGTGAGCAGTGCAGCACTAGGCACTCGCACACACAGCGGAGGAAACTTCCGTTTAGCTTATACCGCACACTGTATTCTCTCTCTCTCTCTCTCTCTTTCTCGAACTGCACACAGCCAGAATTTATCGCTGTTCGTAGTAATTCGTGCGGGAAATGGTCAATGGCTGTACATATTATACACACCCACACGTTCTCGCTATTCACAGGTATAATGTGTATCTTTAACCGCACTGTGGGTGTGTGTGTGTGTGTGTGTGTGTGTGTGTGTGTGTGTGTGTGCAGTCCCGCATTCGACAAAAGCTCTCGACTCTCGAGGCGTACTAACGTGTCCAGATCGTACATGTGTGTGTGTGTGTGTGTGTGCGAAAACCTGCTCTCTCTCTCTATGTAGGTGAATAAGCTCGCGCGCAGCTGCTCCGGAGGGGGGGGGGGGGNGGGGGGGGGGGGGGGGAGAGGAAAATTCAGCCCGCCGAGAAATGAGAAAATAAGAAAAGGCCTTGAATCTCGGCCAAAAGTCCGGGTCCGGACAGGTAGCTTCTGAATTAAAGCGTGTGCGTATGTGTGTGTATAGGTGAATTTTTGTATACTCGCGCGTGTGTGTGTGATCCGTCAGTCGTGTTTCAACTTCTGTACATGTATGTATGAGAAAAAAAAAGGAGCGTAGAAAATAGGCTCGCGTCTGCCGCGCTGTGCGGTAAAGGTCTCCTTCTCTCTCCCTTTCGGAATAATGGAGAATGCGCCTGGCTCGACGCTGAGAAAAGAGGCAAAGCTTTATATACACCTCGCACTGCATACGCCTTTGTATGTGTGTGCGCGCGAGTCGAGCGGTATGTATGTACCTACTATACATATACAGTACAGTGGCACGGAGCGTAAGAAAGAGCGAGCGAGCGAGAGACTGGCTAAATGGAGTACTGGGAAATTTTTCTTCCGTGTGTGACCTTATACGCGCGACCTGAAGCATGACATTTTTTTTCTCGCTCGACGCGCTCGGCTTATACATGTATATAAACTTTCTTAACTAGTTTTTCTTTTAGCTTTTCTTCTTCTTGTTCTTCTTCTTTTCCGTTTTTACCTTTTTTTTCTTTCTTTTCTGCCCCTCCCCCCGGCAAGACGCTTCGCGGCACTTTTTCAATTTCGTTCGACTGTAGGCGCTCGATTCGAGAGCAAAATTTTCGTATGCGATTTGTCATCGCGATCGAATCGAAGCTTCCCACTATTGACGCTACGAGGAGCGCTACCTCTGTTCGCAGACCACTGAAAACCCTTCTACCAAAATTTATCTGTTCAACGTTTATACACTGATACTCTATACTACTGATTTTAGTAAAATGGGCTGATTGGTTGTTCTAATCATCTACTACGCTCAATTAGATATGTTGTTCGAAATCAGAAAACTTGATTGTATTTTATACGTAAGAGTACTCCAACCGTGTCGTTTATTTCTTTCGATCGGCTCTCGCACTTAACAACGGTTTGGAGTACACGAAGCCAACTTTTGGAGCTAAGATCGAGTCGAAACCCATTCAATATTTTAACCATCACTTCAGCGATCAAATATCGATTCTCAGACATAACATTGTACGTGGTTTATATCATATAGTCTGGTTTGAACTCAAAAAGTCCATACACTGTGTACACGTTTGAGTGCTTCGAGCTACTATAACTAACGTTGGACAAATTTACCAAGTGAACGAAATAACGATAACAAAAACAACAAGAACTCGACCGCGTGTATCGAAAGGACATTTGGCAGGTGCGACGCGCGTATTATTTCGATTATTCCTCATATATAAAATAGTTTTACCGGCGCCTACAACACGCGTCACACGTCCATATACTACACGATAAAACCGTACGAGGCGATGAAAAATATTTATTCTATCGGATCGCGCGAAATGCAGAAAATTTATTTGCTACCTTGACTCGCAGTTTTTGTGCAGCTGCTGATGCTCCTTTTCTTTGCATAAAAAAGGAAATAATGCGAGCTTCGCATTGCGTACACGGCTTTTTGATCTTTCCGCTCCGCTCTCGCTCGTTTGACGCCCGTTTGCAAAATATTTTCGCTCCGTTTGTGCGCTTAGATTCGCTGTAAATTCGATTCTCTCTTTCTCTTTCTCTCTCACTTTACCTCGTTATCGTGATCGCGCTTGTATACGTCAGACGTGCGTTATATACAAAAACGAATCGAAGGGAACTAATTAACGAACCGAAATGGGTCGGGTCTCGTCTCGAAATTTTCCCAAAAATGTCGAAATTGAAAGCTTGCCAAAAAAAGAAAGAGGGGAAAAAGAAGAGTCGAAAAAGTTTTTCTCTCTTTATCTCGCTCGCGAATTCATCGAATTAAAAGTTCGGCTCGCCCAGCCGCGCGCGCGCGCGTGCATACATACGTATAAACCGTACGTACACATATATAGCAACAACAAAAAATGTTCCAAGATCACGTTCAACCTTTTCTTTCTTTTTTTTTCGACGAGATACGTATCCTGAATATAACAGGACGCGCGATCGCTCATCGAAGTCCAGAATTTGGCAAACTTCTGGCTGCCACTGCTGCGAGCTCTAATATTGCGTCGTCTTCGTCTCGGTCGATTTTTTTTTCCTTTTAACAATATATACGTACGCTGGAACTCGAAGCTATATTGCATATTAATATTCACGAAAAAAATGCAAAGATCGCGACACGGGTCTAGAAAAGAGATAGAGAGAGAGGAAGAGCAAGGGCAGAGAGTTCGTCCTTTCAATTTTGCTTGCATATATTACGCGGCACTTTTGGCATGTCGGAGAGACCCGGCGATGCACGATATTAGTGTACCTCGAGCTGTCCGTAATATACGAAAAATGCTTATAATTCCAGTTTTTCGGATGTACAGAGGCAGGCTGCTCAGTGCGCAGCACGTGCCGGCCCGCTTCATTTCGTCACACATAACGCCGGCTCTCTATTTTCCGTCTAGACGCGGACGAATTAATTTTATTTCTCCTTCGTCTTCTTGTTCTTTTTTACTTGCATATACGTTGCAAATTTATTCAGACGGTACAAAATTCATGCACGAGCGCATATGCCAAATATGGTAAATTTACGACTTTTTTTTATCTAGTCTGGATACACTCGTGCATTCGTAGCGACACATACGCGCACTCGAGCTCCTTTCAAGCTCGCACCTTCACGAATGCAAAGTTCAACTTGCGTCGACGCGAACCCAAAAATTTATTACGAAAGCTCGCCGATGAATAGAAACTGCACTGTACACGAATCGTATGTATACCAACTGTACGCGTGACAGCATCGAAGGCCTAGATGATGATGATGATGATGATGAAAGTAGAGATATGAAAGACTTCTTGTATATTTTTCTAAAACTTAGCTGACTTCGAAGTAGATCTGCATACATAGCGTAATAATATGCAAGCTCGTGGGCGCGTCGTGTAAGGAGCGCTGCCTGCTGCCTGCATACATATATGCGGAGAGCACACATGATGTATTCAATTCTCGAGCTGTGACGTACTCCATGCGACGCCAGATGCTCGCGCGGCTCCGTGAAAAA